CAGGGTGTCCTTCTGCGGAGAGTCCACTAAATTTGGATTGTTTCACAGCAACCATAGACTACTGCCAGGTGTCTGAGAAGCGGGTGGTGGGCGGTCTCCCCTGTGTCACTTCTGAGGCGGTCACGCCCGCAACTCCACGGAGCTCCGTTGCCCTCAGGGCCTCGATCATGGCGAAGGAAGCCTGATAATGGTGAGGGAACGTGAGGGATGTTTGGGATGAGGACTTCTGGTGTTGCATCTCAGTAGTCGGACTATCAAAGCGAGCTTGGGTCCAATATCCGTGGCTGGAGCAAGTCGAGTGGCCAGAAAGGGTTATACTCGTAGCTTCAGACGGTCAATCCTCCGTGCAACGAGGATTGCGCCAAACGATTGGCTTCCAAAAGCCTACGTCTACGTGTTGCAGGGAAACACATGCTCGACGCAACACAATTAGGGAGATTTGTTCACGATGTACACATACAGATCAGAATAGATGGTTGCTTGTACATTGTCATAAATGGCTGGGCGCCTCTTGGCACGTGTTGTTGTTTTTGCTCTTAGGACCTATGAGATCCAATTAGATGATTCTTGGAAGTGATTCTCGGTTGTTGTCAAAGGCGCGTGAGATTTTTCACAACTTAAAACGAACACAACCCGAGGTGTTTCTTCCATATTGCTGCAGGGGCATTTCGAGTTGTTTGAGTCTTATTTGAGTTGTTCGAGATGTGGATCGTGATGAGTTGGCAGTGCCGAATGGGAAAAAACAGAGAGTCACCTGGTCAGAAAGCGCTTCTGGCCCAGGAGCCCAGATCATGGCCAGCACTTGTCATGTTGATTAAAAGTCTGTATATGCCGCTTCAATGATGTGTACATTGCTCATTGTCACTGTCTGGGCTGTTTGGCATTAAAACGCCATGATGACACTACATCACCATTCACTAGTGCCAGCATCATCTTCGTCAAGCAAACTTATTTCAGGGCTTGTGCAAATCATCTATACTGTGCTACCCGCTAGTATCATTTGCTATGTGGCTGTGTGGATTACTGACAACCATGCCTTACGTTATAGCATCATCCATCGTGCCTGCACGAGGTTGTAGTTTGTCTTCCTCTCATATCTTGCTGACTCACAGACATCGACCAACACGGAGGGCGACTGAAAACTCAAAAAGCAGAAGGACCTTGACCAAAAACGCCCGGAGAAGGCAACACATGGGCTGGCTCGCGAGACTCAACTGGGGAACAGAGAAGTGGCAGAAACAAGGCCAGACAGGTATATAATTAACTAGCATATCACATACTCTCGTTGTCCCAGAAGATCAGTCCTGCTTAGGGTGTGGACTCTTGCTTGAACCTCTTCATTGCCATCGTCATCACGTCATGATGGAGAGTAAGCTTCAGCTTCATAGCTCTTGCCATGCTTGAATACCCCATGATACTATGCATGGTTGCAGGATCATACAAGATTGATGATTATTCATTCTTGCTGGCCCTTATCGCTCTGCGTAGCGGTTCCTTCATCTCTTGCAATGTCATTATGTGCAGCGTGAGTCGCGCTTGTTTAGAATCATGACGCAATGCCAGTGTCAACATGTTTGTCATTAATTGCCACGTCGGAATATAACCAGGATGATGCGTTGTCGCCCAGCAGCGCCATTCATAAATCAGCAGTTAGCCCTAGCAGAGATCTAACAAGTTTCAACAGATTGCGATCTTTGATTGTGATTTTGGTCGTGGCGGCCATTGTGTGTCACGACAGTACTTAAGAAAGCTGATGGTTGAACGATCTGACTGCAAACCACTCAGCCATGTAGGGCTGTCTTGCATCCGCTGCATTCATGATTGTCACTCAAGGCATTTCAAGGCCTCATCAAAGTCAGCGTGCGTCGGGCGTGTATGTTCGCCGCATTGCTAACTGCTAACCTTCATGATTACAGTTCAATGCCCCGCTTTCATTCCTACAGCATCATGGGCTCCTGAGCCCGGACGTGCCGATCCGCTGGCACGTGCAAGAAGCATTCATGCTTGTCACATCTGCGATGGGTGATCTGAATTTTGCACGTGCCTAGGCACTGCCTCTCAAGTGCTTATTGTCTGCTTGTGTCGGTACCATGAAGAAGGGCACCCAGCTCCGAGCAGCTGTCGAAGTGCCAGAGTCTGGAAGTGCACATTGAATTCCTCCGTCTGCTTGTAGGATGCGGCAGACATGATCGTTATCAAGAAGTGGATCTCTTGTCAGCCGTGTCTGTTACAAGTACTTAGGAAAGTTGTGTCATGAGCCAACACGCTCGGTCGGTTGGGTCTGAACTGCTACAAGCATGAAGGAGACGAAGACCGGCGCAAAAACCTCCAGCACAATGCCGCAGGGAAAGGCAGCCGTGGGCCGTGGGTGTACTTTGAACTTGAATGTGAGACCGCAGAGGTTAATTACCTGTGTCGTTCTGTGCTATATGCAAGTACTAGCAACGTGCATTAATGAGCGATCATGTGGGGAGCTTTCTCCTGCATTATTGTGACTGCTCTGTACGTGCGGGTCTGCTCTTCAACTGCATTGTCCCTTGTAAGACGAAGTACTGCTGCCTGCAGCAGTTGCAGATGCCACCCTTCTGCAACGTTACTGTGCCGTTGCAAAGTACAGCCGTACGTGAGAACTTCATCCAATTTCCTTAGGCTCTAGGACTCTACGAACCTCATGTGAGTATTGTTACGCTGGCATTTGCAAAGCCAACATGACTTGTAAGTTTTCCACGCTGACGTTATTCTCCGACCAAGAGTCTAAAACCCTTGACTGCCAGAGCTTCTGCCCTCTGAATTCCGTCTCAACACCCGGCGCAGGGGCAGTTCAAGTACCCCAGCCAGCTCACGGGCCTTAGTCAAGAAGAGATACAGGCAGGAACTCCCAAAGCTGCTTGCATGCGACCTGAAGCTATGGTTCTCTGCGAAGTGCCTAGTCTGAGGTACGGGTACTGAGGCAAGTTGATACTGCGTTTCTTTCGCGTTAGGCTGGTACCGTAGGCCTTGTCCGCAGAATGGATGCCCTTTAGTTCCAACTTCATTGCGCCACCGAGTAGCTTTCTTAAGGAGTTGACCTGGTATAGTATGCTGCAGATGTCCTAGGATGTAGATTGGATGTGCCGAGCACGTGTTTGGACGAAGCCCGCTAAAACTAGTTTTGCTGGTTTCGTGGGGCCGGGGCCTCCATAACACGGGGAACACCAATCCCTGGCCTCGTGGCTATCATCAGCCTTTAAACCCTGAACACATCGGAGGGCGCTAGAGTTCTTCGATGGCATCGCATTGTTTCCTCAGCAGAATTAACCACTTCACTGATCATTCCTCCAGACCTCATTTGACCTGGACCCGATCCCTCTGATTGCCAAGTTTGAGGCGAGGAAAGCAAGGGCCCTGGACATTTGGGAATCCCTCAAGCCAGACGTGGAAGCCGAGATGGGCAGGACCGCTGTGCTGCTTTGCGCAGCAGGGGCAGTTGAGAAGGCAATTTTGTTCGTCATGCACGTTGCGTCCTCACGTCCTCATCAACAACTCGTGGCCAATCGTTCTTACATTCTTGGGTATACAGTACCCTTACCGTTTGAGCCCAAATAGTTCCGTGGAGAATCAAGTTGAGAGCGGTCTTGTTACATGCAAGGGCTCAAAGCCAGGTATCAGACCTTCCGACCCGACAAGTTCGAAGAGTTCATGCGGGCTGACAGCCGAGGGTTGGGAGCCTCAAGCATCGTGCAACCTGATGCGCAGGGCTGGTATACGAGCACATAATATAAGAATGCTTCACTCACGTTGTTAGGTTTCAAGAGCCTCTTCACAAGGATCAATTTCTACGGATTGGCGCTTTGGGAACTCTTGTTGTCCAAGACACGGACCTTTGCAGCATTGCATAGCTTGTCTTTAGTAATCAATACTTGATGGCAACTACAACTGCTGATGCCTTGAGTACACCACCCTCTTTGTTCTGACATGTTCTGACCGCGGCCTTAGCCTCAAGCTGAAGGGTTACCAGCAGCCCTTTCCTGGAGCTTGGAAGCATCCTGAGCGTTGCCTGCCAACTTGCCTTTGCGCGCTATGGCAGCATTGCTTGATGGACAACCCTTGATCATTTGCTAATAGCAACAGACTGGGTAAGATCCCTTTAAAACTAATACTGCCTGCACTGTTTTCAAAGCTTCAACGCCTGCACCAGGTTGCGGAGAAACTGAATACTGTAGACTGCGCAAAGTGCGACCACAACTGTTCAGATATTTCTGCTGCAGCTGCTGAAACTGTCTTCTGGCTACTTGTAGTACAGTAGTCTCCGCCAGTTCAAAAACCTGATGAGGAGTTGTGAGGACAGACGCAGCGTTGCGACAAGCGTGCGCATGAGCACAGTTGTCATGCATGTAGAAAGACTCAAAGTTGTCTTCTCCAGAACTCTGGAAAATCGTCGAACCTAGCCGCAGCTGTGCAGCACAAAGGCCCAGGGTTATGTTCTGTTGAGCCTGGGTAGCCAAGGTCCATTGCTCAAGGTGCTGAAGTGGAATGTCAGCATCACAGCACTGGCAGAGGTCCGCTAGGACACCTGCTTTTGGGTTGTGAGTCGAGATCTCCATGAGCTGCTCTTACAATCGCAGAGTTTAATGACGATCACATGATTAGCTTGCTGCGACAGTTCAGACGTTCGCGTTTGGCTGGCGGTTTCTTGCATGCTACGGGCTTGTTTGACTGTGTGGTGGAGGACTGGCATCTTACTCCTAGCGCTCGCTCAGCTGCCACAGCTGCTGGATGCAGTGCGCAATTCAGCAGAAGAAAATCACACACAGCTTGTCCATCTCCCCACCAAGCAGCAGGCGGCATTGTTGCAAGAAGGGTGCTGAGAGCATTTCAAGATCATCCCTTGAAATCAAGCTGAAAAGTTAAAAGCCGCTATAAGCCAATCCGCACAGGGCTGAAAAGGTCAAGTGCTATGATTTCAGGCAAGATACTGCAGTTCACATCTTTGCACATGGTTCTGCCATGTTCTGCCAAAGGTCTCTGAAATTGCAGACTCCAAAACTCACTGCGTGGTTCCAATGGAGGGTGACACTGGCATGGGCTTGGTTTGCAAGCAGGACCTCACTCCCCGGTATCTTCATACGGACAAGCAAACTTCCAACATGCTTCCGTGCACTTACCGTGAAGAGGATTACTTGACCCCAACAGCTTGGCTTGCAAGCAGGATTTGGATGCCAGTTCCTCTCCGGTCCAGTGCGTGCGTTGCGGTCAGCTCTTCGGAAGCGCTATCGAGCCGATGTTGTCCTGCATGGTGCAAACGCAGCCCTACACATCCAAATGGCTGCGGATGGAGTCAAAGGAGGTGGAGGTTTCTGAAAAGTCCAGATGATGCAGATCTCAAAGATCGTAGGTCTGAGAGATGCTGTTGCTGTGTAAGCAGGTGAAGATCAAGGTGTCCTCCAGGCAGCATCTTGGCTTCATGAGTATGCGGTTGGACTTCTCGGCTAGTGTTTTCCTTGCATTGACTGCAAACGGAGCTCACCTTGTCCGTCGATTACTGGATCTCCTCATATTGAAGTTTCTCAGGAAGTGGCACAAAGAACAAATGTGCCCATGACATACCTTGCTCCAGACATTTGGAGCAAACCTTTGACACATACCAGTAAGGTTCACTCCATGCTCATTCTAAACCAACACTCGTACCTGCAAGGCATCTGAGAAGCCATGATCCGGTGGTGGCGGTTCGTGGTGGGGAGTGATCCAGCCCATGTCTTTACTTCCGTGCGCTGTTGCTCTAATCAGTCCTCCTGTCGGTGGTCCGTTCGGTGTTTCGGTCAACGGTGTAGTGGGCCACAGGCGCCATTGTCGAGTCGCCGCCATTTTCGAGTCACCCGACGTATAGTCAAGGACCCTGGCCCTGCATGCCAGACTACACAACCCACGCTTGATTTATCGATTTTCTGATGAAAGGGCACATGCTCTTGCAGAATAGAAGACTTTGGGTCTGTCTTCTGAAGCACTTGAACAGATTGTGCCACCATCCAATCCTCATGATGCCTGTGCTGCCTTCGCCCCGTCTCAATTTTAAGTTCCAAGAAAAAATGCGTGAGAAAGCTTGAGCCAACAATTTTCCCCCATGGCTGAGGGCACGTCGCACATGCACGGGGCTGATCTACAAAGCGCTGCTTGGCCTAGTGGGCCTCGTGCTTCGGAGATCAGGGTTAGTTCGTCAGGATGAGCAGCGTGTAAGGTTCTACAGGAGTCTTTTATGTTAATCTGGCAACTGAAACAGGCTATTTTTCTTGATGTCAGACCACAGCAGAAAAGAAGTGCGAGTCGGGTATTGCAGGGCCTTGGAAGTGGTAGCAATTTAAAGGTTGTGGTTGGATTGTTGTGAGTTGGTTGGGATTGGAGGGGTACGTTGCTGCCTGCTATTCCGAATTTACATCCAACCTGCTGAAATGAGCCCTCAGGTGCGTAGATCATGGCACCCCATTTAGAGTTGCTAAATTTGGGTGAGAATTGTGAAGACAGCCTGTGTAGAGATGTGTAGAGGCCACGGATAGCCACAACTCACCTGACCGCATTTGTGTTTGCTTGTTTGTGTTGGCAACACAAGAAACCTTGCAGGTGTTTCGTATCATCAACCTTTCAATTTTTGGTGACTTTGTGTGGAAGTCGAAGAATAAGCTTTGAGTTTTGCCTGAACGAGCACTTCAAAGCCAGAGCCGAGGCCGTACCATCAGTACGGCGCACTATCGTGCTCAAGCTGGTTGAGAAAGACGCATCCAGAGGCCAGAAGTGGCGGCAGCGACGGGTGTTCAAGCTAGGTGTAATGAGAAAAGCTACTAAGCGACATGCATGTAGACCTTACCTTCTGTCTTGCAGATGCAATTCACAAGTGCAGAACATAGGATCCTGCAAGGGGTTTCGCTATCAGCACCTGCTTACCCAGACTGTTGTGGCCTTCCGTCAGATAGGGTGCAGTTCCGGGTTTGGTATGGAGCTTAACAGACGTTCACGGCAACCAGCCCCCTTGTTGCTGTGTCCAGGCTTCCTGCTGGAGCTACCTGCCTCAGCACCGCGGCTCTCATAGTGTCTGGTTCTTTGCCTTCACGTATTTCACCACGACAAACTGAGCTCAAACCAGCCCTTCAGACTACAACTTTTCGAGTCACAAGGGTGTATTGATACTTCGAAAGCAGTAGTAGACAGGTATAGGGCAACTCATCAGAAGATAGGCTCCAGACTCTAGATTTAACGTTGTTGTTCAACTTCAAGTCGAGCTGTTTGTTAGCACTGGCACGCTCATTCGTCTCATACTTGCTGAACCTTCACGTCGTGCACCCAAGAGAAGAGCCAACAAATAAAGTGTTAGCTTTGGGTTGCTGGCTTGTCGCCAGTTTTGGGGCTGTGCTTTCTTCGGGAGTTCAAGGAACTCTTTTTGTTTCCCGCAAATCTGACTGCACAGAAACACCGGACCAGTTCGACATCACCAGAGTTAGTACCTGGCGAGATACAGCATGAAGCCTGATGCTCGGGACCCCAACGTGGCAATACGTGACATCTACTCCAGGTGTGGGGGTTTCGGCAATGTTCTTGTATAGTCGCAGAAGATAGGCTTGCGGAATCCCTGGCACATGCAGACTTGACACCTGAGTTAAGTCGTTACTAGAACTCTTGGACTCAGCTCTGCAGCGAGGAATTCAGAGACCAAGACTTGCCTGGTCAGCGTGCTCAATGCGCCTTTGAAGAAGGCATCTGGCTTCTTTCAGGAGCGCAGTTTCAAGAATTTTCTTAACGTCTCCCGCATAGCTTCATGATGCGGATTGAGCGGCCGAGGTAATGGACAGCGAGCAGGAGGAGCAATGGGTAGTGGCTGGGTCCTGATGTTGCTCGATCCTTCTATTCACCACCACTATCACCGCTGCCGGCGTGGCCTTCACCCTGCAGGTCCCAAGCAGCAAGCGGTAGTAGCCAAAAGCATTGTGGGCCGCGTGCGCATTCTGCCAGGGACTGCCTGATGCACATTCTGTTTCACCAACCAAGTTGGCGCAAGTTCCTCAAAATCTTCTTTTCCAGATTGGACTGGATCACTGTATGCCTGCAGTCCACAGCTGCGAAGTTTGGGATCTTTCGCCAGCTGGAAGTACTATTTCACCTCTGGGTGTAAGACAAAAAATTCTCGCTGCGTTGTGAGAACTGCTGCATGTCGTTATTCTTAGCATTGCTTACAGCCTTCCTGGACTGCAGAAGTTCCGATAAGAAAGGTCAAAACAATCACCCAGTTCGAGCCGTAATGACAAAGATTGCACTTGCCATGCCGTCTAAGTGCCAGACCAAGCCGGCGAAACCTGATAAGTAACGAACAGCACTGATGCCTTGCACAGCTTGAAGTTAGGATTGCCGGAACTGCGGGCATGGCAAGGGGAGCAACTCATGACTAGAACAGCCAGAGTTGGACATGCGAGCAATGCGGCATGCCAACAGTCAGCCAACACACTGCATTTAATGGATAGTGAACACGAAAGTAGGCCGCCACTGATTCATTTGTATTGGGAGGGGAACAAGACAGGATCCAGTTGTATTTATCTTCGCCCCAGTCCCTAATCTGCCCTGGGCACAAGAAGTCAGGGTGACCCTTTTCGAGCTCTACAAGCCGGGCACGCCGGAGTATGGAGAGCTGTTTGAGGCAAGTGTTGAAGCCCTTTTGCCTTCACGCCTCGCGCTCTTGTGGTGCCTGTGTCTTCGCTGGGCGACTGAAGGGGAAGCATCAAATGGCGTTCTGATGTGTACCTGCATGGCAGCCCCCTGTGATGCCAAGATTGGTAAGAGGACAGCCCCCTGTGGTGTCCAGATTTTAGCAAGCAGTTTTCAGCAACACCATGGCAGCGCGCTTTGGAGCAATCAGTGCATGAGTGACGTGCAATCTTGTTTTGAGAGTTTGCAACTGCGCAATCATTGCATGTGTGGATGTGTAGAGCATGAAGCACAACCATCAGTGCATGTGAGGAAGCTGCGCAAGCATCATAAGTTTTCCACAAGCACCCAAGCAAGTTCTCACCAGCATCCAACTTTCAGTTCGAGGACCAAGAAATTATAAGAAATCTGCAAGAGGACCTGCAGACGTGTTATTTCATCAGATCGGCTCGTACAGGTGTGTGTTCGTTTGAAACCCTGTTTACCAAGGCCTAGATTTCAAACCAAGCTTGTAGAGGGCAGTGGCTCATTCAAGAGACCACAGCCAACGAAGCTGGTCTTGAGATGGGAGATGGGAGGATAGCCAGGCTGATCAATTGGCCGTACCGTTAGCGCAGCCAGGCCCTTTAACTGCATGGTAGATTAGAACGATATGTGAATCTGAAAAAAAGAGAGACAAAGCGAGCAGCAAGATGAACACTCCTGCTAGCCTTTTCGGGAGCTTGCAAGCGTGCACGAGTGTATGGGGGGTTTGTAGCCTCGACAGCTGTGCTTCAGAGAGATGCGAAGTTCTCATAGGGTCCACCCACCCATCAAAAGAGTCCGGGCAGACAAAACTTTTGATTACATCCCAGCCGACCCCGACAAAACAGCCCAAGCGGCAACCCCGTCAGCTCCACAGACAAGCTGTTGCGTGCAGCCACTGAAAAAAATCGCGGCAGAGACAAGATGATTGGCCATCACTCTTTAGGGTGTTGAGCTTCCAGCGCCAGGCACCGCAGTGACGTGTTTTGCTGTTTGCAACCGGCTACTGGGCTACCGGCTAGCTCACTTGCAGAGACCCTTCTAAGCCTTTCACTATGAGTCCCTCAGCCATGAGCAATGCACCGCCAAGCTTCTTTGGGCAGGAAGTCTTGGGACCCTTCTTGCTAGACCTGGCCAAGGACAAGCTTCAAGAAGGACCTTGGTGTGGAGTCTTGAACGGGGTTGACTGTCTGTATTTGCATTTATGTTTGCTCGAATTCTCGCCTCAAATTTATGTGAAGGTTAACTTGGCGTGCTGAAGCACGATTCCGCAAGATCATGATGATGTAAACTACTGTAAGATATGTGATCTCAATCTAGCCAAGCTGAAGCTGCCTGTCAAGGGAACCCGGCTGCTGGAAGCTGTCAGTGAAGTAAGAGCTGTCAAAACCAGAAGGGGTTCAGAGCAGTTGTCACCAACTTTCTGAGCTTCGTGCAGCAAGACATCATGATCGCATGGCCTTTGTTGATGTCGGCCGCGGCTTTGCGTGGTTGTGCCATGCGCCAGACTTCGGAAAGCCTGCCTGCGATTCATTTCGCAAAAATGGGTGTTTGAAGCATGCCAGCTCTTTCTCCTGACTCCTGAGCAAGGACTCGGACAGGTGGTTGGGGCACCAGCCCCAGATACGTCATGGCTGA